TTTCAAATCCGTATAACTATGACAAAAGTTAATGGATTTTAATTTATCCATAATTACAATTATGACTGTTGACATTTTGCTCGTTTTTCGTTTATAAAATGAAAACGGTTATACTTATATCGACGGGGTTGATCTCATTCGAAAGAGAATCCAAAAATACATTAAATTTCATACCGTTATAAAATTCAAAATATTTTCTAACCATTTTCAAGGCGTTACACTGTTGACAGAAATTCAATTACGGAAGTGTTTCGGCTTTTTCTGCCTCCATGACAAACGAGCAGATTTATACTTATATCGTTTTCGTTTTTTCACACACTTCGTTGTTGTTGTGTTTTGTTAAATGTTTATTTGTATTTTCTATAAATATTTCATTGCAAATGGAAATTTTTAATTTATGTTTTTTTTAAATTTAATTAATTGATAATTAATAATAATTAATTATAAGTATAAATTTCTGTTCCTATTTACCCCGAATTTCCAGTTTTTAGGGGTAAATAAAAACAGTCTCCTACTTTTAAAATTGAGCGACTCCACGTCAAGTGATCGCACCGATTCAGGCTATTTTGATAAATTTTTATAATATTGATAATTTGGGTTCCTCTAAGGACCAAAAAAAGAAATCCTAAGTATTTTTAAAAAATTCAAAATATTTTTCAAAATATTGCACATTTAAAATTTTTGTAATTTTTTTTTTGATTTATTATAACTTCCGTAATTTTTAACTTAATTTTTTTAATTTTAATTTATTTTTTTGAAAAAAATTAAAAAATTTTAATTTTTATTAAAAAAAACAATGTTAATTGTTTAAATAATTCGAAAAGTATCTTCGATTTTTTTCAAAAAATTCATGAACATTCTCTACAATGTCCTGAAAAATTTAAGACCTTGAAAAAGATGATATGTCTTATAGTTTCCGAGAAAAAAATTATTTAGTTTTTGTAGCGCGTGAAGTCATTGTAAACTATATACTTATATGAGGCATTTCATATAAGAATACAGGGTCATATCTCGGATTTTTTTCAAAATTCGGTAAATTGTAGTGGTGCTAAATAAGTGTAGAAATTTTGAATTTGAAATTTTTAATATTTTTCGAGATATTTACAATAACAAATTAGAGCAATATTTTTTTGCTTTACTCATAACTTTTTCCCTACTAAAAATAGAGAGAAATGTTGAGAATATTTTTTACGCAAAAGACCTTAAACTTTTAGAAAAAAATTATTTTTTTAAAAAATAGTAATTTTTAAACAGTTTGTTTAAAAAATAAAATTTGTTTATAACTTTTAAACATGTTTGTCCTTATTTTGAAGCGTGATAAAAATCTTGAATATTGTTTAAGTCATAATAAATCGATGGTTAAATTTTTGAGATAGCATTATTTTTTGTTTTCGAGATATTAATTAATTAACTAACAAAAGTTAATAAAAAAGGAAATATTTTACGAACAAATAAAATTAGAATAATTTTAAAAATACCATTTCAATGCTTATCGAAATCCGCATCCAACAAACCCTATATGAACTATTTTGGATAAACTGGTGTTAGATTAATAATTATTAATAAAAATTATTTAAGTAATTAATAACATTTGAAAAAATGAAGATAAATTGTCAATTCTTTTTTTATTTGGAAGGTCATCTAATTGTGCGCCAAAAAAACAGTGTAAATAACATTTTTAACAATCCAAATTATTAACAGATGATTATTGAAAATCGTTGTTTTAGCACCCCACGGCACAACTCGGTAGTGGTTGCCTACCTACTTGGCATGGTATTTTTCAGTCTTTCTCCTTGGAATCAAAGCTTTCCATTGATTCCAAGAACAATAAAAAATGTTAAGGGGTTTCCCTGTAATTGAAAAAAAAGTGCGAGCCTGCACGGAAAAAAATTCGACCGTCTATCGCTCGATTTTCCTGTCTCGCTGGCTCTTTCGTTCGTGCACCATTAATTTCATTATTTCTAATAAATATACAATATAATTTTTTGGTAATGTTAAGATAACATAATGTAATATTTAAAAATAAATTTATATGTTGGATTATTGACTGTAAAAATAATTAATTTGAAAAAGTAAAATTAATTTCCAATAAAATTGTTGAAGTTTTTCAAATTAAATTTTTTAATTGTAAAATATATAATTTTTATTATATTTATTTAATTTTAATAACTGTATAATTAACTTATTACATAATTATAGTGTCTTTCGTGTTATATAAATAATATTTATGTTTATAAAAAGGCATAAATAATGAAATTAATGGTGCCCAGGAAAGCGCCAGATCGAAATCTTCAGTTTCGACCCTGGCACACGATCGAAAAAGCCAGTGAGACAGGAAAATCGAGCGATAGACGGTCGAATTTTTTTCCGTGCAGGTTCGCACTTTTTTTTCAATTACAGGGAAACTCTTTAACATTTTTTATTGTTCTTAGAATCAATGGAAAGTTTACATTCCAAAGAATGATTATGTTAAAGGATAATTTATTCCATCGATTTTCCCGGTCCATGCAAGAGGTTAAAGTCAAGGTAGGAAATGAGGAAAAAATTACAATTATTTTTTTAACTTTGTAACATGTTATATTGAAATCTATTTAAGCAATCTCTTTCTAATAGGCATCACTTTTTTCGAAATTTATTAAGCTTTTTAACGCTATAAAGAAAAAGTCTCTACGTTTATTTCTTTCTGAGTTACCCCTATTTTTATGCGAATATGTTTTTCAATGACTCGCGGTGTAAGCGTTCGCACAATTTCGGACGGTAGTGTAATTTGGTAAGAAATTCTTGAAATATATTATATAAATATATATAAAATAACTTTTTCATTATAAATAGTAATTGCTGTAGTGTTAATATTTTTCAAGAATTAAATTCTTATTCAATATAACCTATAAAAAAACTCAAGTCTCGTAGAACTTGTAATTTTGCTTCCTCATGAAGAAGCTGTGTATTCGTGACGATTTTCAATTTTTCAAAAGAAGGTTATATGGACTCATTCTCATCTAGAATTAATATATTTGAAGTTATGATCAAATGTCCGGAAGTATGTGTGTGTATGTCACAAAATATTGTGTACAAATTATCTCAGAAACGTTTTGATGGATTGTCCTGAAATTTTATAAGCTTAATGTAGTCATTAATACCTAAAATCTGAAACAAAGATTTCCGAATATATTCACAAATTTTTTTTTTACAATTTTTTCAAAAAATTTTTTTATTGTTTTAATTTTGTTTGGTAAAAAACTTATTTCTTGCATTAAAACGAATCGATTAACCTATATAAAGTTCATATTTTAGTGAAATTTATTGATTAAATCATTTTTTTAAAAAATCGTTTATTGTATTTTTTGAAAAAACTTTTTCTTATATAGAAATTTTAATTAATTCTTGTCAAAATTGTATTCCTGTAATGAAAATGAATTGACTGATGTATTTAAAGTTTACATTTTAACAATATTTATAAAATTCATCGCGATTTTAGTTGTACTCTTTCTTTTAGTCTTGAAAATAAATGTATCAGGATGAGGAAGCTAAATGGTCACAGAGCACAGTGGCCGATTTCCCGAAAAACCTGGCCAAAAGTCAAAAATTTTTTTTTAGAAATTTATACTTTTTATTGTTGAATATTATAAAGGAGGGTTCACTGCATAATTTTGCGAAAAAAAATTACACTTTTTTTATCACCAATTTATTATGTGAACAAGTAAAAGTGATCTTTGCCAGAGATTTACTCAGAACGTTTCATAACTATAAATTTTCGTCACAGTTAAAATAGTAAAAATATAGTAATATACAGCAGATTTTTGAATATCTTTTTTTGGAAATTATTAACAAAGGTGTATGAAATATGTTGAATGTACTTATCATCACATTTAAAACGTACAGTTTTTAAAAAATGACATTAAACATCGCTATTCATGGCTACGATTTTTGTATTGTTTTATCAACGTAAATCATGAAAATAGTTGTGAAATCCACCGATATCCGCGCTCTACCTGGTATTATCATAAACAAGAATATATTTTTGATTCATTTTAATTGAAATCAGCTGCCCCAAGCTGCCCCTGCAGTTTTGGTATCACTTTTTATTTTACCGAGCGTGGTTTACCGACAGCGCGTTGCACCGGCCGGCCGTGCAACTGAACGTGAAAGACTGACTTTTTCTTCATTCGCATTCGCTTTAAACTAAAATTTAAGCACTGTCTGTAATTTAAAAAAATAAACTCTAACACATATACGCAATTTTATAATACCAGCAAATATTTTGGATCCGCCATATTGAATTTGATAAAACAAATGTAAAATTTGATTTCAAAAACCCAGTAAACGTAATCATACTAAGTTTGGTTAAAATCGTACCATTTTTTAATTTTTAGCAAAGTTTTTTAAAATCTAAGCGGCCATTTTGGATCCGCCATTTTGAATTTGACACAACCAATGTAAAATTTGAATTCAGAAGCCCAAAAAACATGGGTATACCAATTTTGATTGAAATCGTATCATTTTTCGATTTTCAGCAAAGTTTTTTAAAATCTAAACGGCCATTTTGGATCCGTCATTTTGAATTTGACACAACCAATGTAAAATTTGAATTCAGAAGGCCAAAAAACATGGGTATACCAATTTTTGTTGAAATCGTATCATTTTTCGATTTTTGGCCAGGTTTTTCGGGAAATCGGCCACTGTGCAGAGGTTAAAGATGTTCCAAACCCTAACACACATTCTCTTCACACACACGTAGTAGTGGGGGCCCCTTACATTTGTTAATTTCTTTCTCTAACCGCCCTTCGAACAGTTATAAAGAGGTAGGGCAGTGTAACTCACTTTTGACCAATAAAATAAACTTTTAGTTTTTTCCACACATGAAAAAAACCTCATGAATGGTACCTTTTACCGTAGAGGATCAGATTTAAGAATCAGTTTTTATAAAAACTTACATCTCCTAAATTCAAAAAATATGATATTAACAATAACCAGAAAAGATAATATTATATTAAACATACCTTGAATTCATTTTGTAAATTCATTCTTTGATTTTGTCGCTGTAGTAAAAGCTGTTTAGCTCTTTTGACTCTGTTACGGTACGCAATTTGTGCTGGACTTTGGTATCCTAATCGGTTGTATACTGAATTAGGATCTCTTAAATTAGACATTCTGTTAGAATTCCTTTTCAAAGTGCTTCGATTAATAACAAATCCGCTATTTCTAAAAGGTAAATTTGCTTGACTATTGTTACGATTTAATCCAAGTCTATTGTCTGCAGATCTTCTTTTAGTTCCAAATCCTCGATTTAGAGTGAATCCATCTCTGGTATTTGTTTTGTAATTACGGTTCAAAGTTAAGTTACTACGAGATCTAATTAAACCACCTTTTTTATTATATCTTTTTCTGATAAAACCTCCACGAAGTTTACTAGATGCTTGCTTCCATGATAAAAGTTTTTTAAATTGAGCTTTATTTTGTCTGTTTGGTCTTTGATTACCACCTTCAATTCGTGGTTTCACACCACGAAATTTCTTCGCTCCTGCTTTTACATTAGTTACTCTGCTCTTTTTTTTCTTTTTCTCCAACTTTATGATCTCATCTGAAAAAAAATGTTGATTTTTCAGTAACCATACGATCTTAGCAGTTACATTAGGGACATGACTTTTTACCCTATAATTCCCATTTTATCACATTTTTATTAAGCATAACTCCACTCAACACGTTACGTATGAAAAACTAACGTACTGACACGTTCGTCTCCAATTTTCAACTTATCTGTTATTTGATAGATATACATATTTAGAGCAAAATTTCTTAAGTGATCCATCTTTAAAAGTGTGAAAGAAGAATTCATTGAAAAGTCGTAACTATTGCACAATAAGATTTAAAAAAATTTACCTATGTTTTTGAAAGGTTTATTTTTTGCCTATTTTTTTGAATGGAGTAAAAACAATTTCAATAAATTTAAACTTTCCTTCGAAAATTAAAAACATTTTTCACTTTTTCTCAAAATCGGCATTTTCCAAATTTTTATTAAAATTTTTTATAAAGTGTGAAATGTGCACATTCAGTACAACAAATTTCCTTTTTTATTTTCGAGATATTAATTAATTCATTTAATAAATATTTGAGGGTGTCTATGCGCAAAGAAGACTAAACTGAAAGAAATATTTCTTTGATACTGACAGTATTATGTCAAATTTTCACATATTGTATTGCTGTATATTTACTGCCATACAGTATAGATAATACAGCCATACGGAATAGGGTGTTTCACCGGAGGCTTTTTTTCGATTTTCTAAAACCTTAACCCGAAATTAGACTCCTTTTGAGGTCGCTATTTTGATTTTTATGCAACATTTGTACCTTTTATATAAAAAAATTTAATTTTTTATTTCTAAGTGTTCAACATTTCCAAAACTATGCACATTACAACTAGAGGTTACCAAATCAGTAAAAAAAATTGTTCCAAATTAAAAAAAAATGTTTGAATCTTATTTTTATGACCTTAAATGAAAATTTTGTTAGATATGTTGTATTTTTTTAAAATGTACAGAAGTTGAAGAAAAAATTGTTTTCGACAATAAAAAATGAAAATCATTTAATTATTTTTAGTAAAAATACACAGTACATATATATAAAGAAAGTATATGAGGAGGTCAATCAAATAACTCGATTCGCGTTAGAAACATCGCCCTTATGGTATTTCGACGCATCAAAAATAGTGAAAAATTAAAATTCAAAATTTTAATTTTTTGAAAACACTATCTAGTAGGGAATAAAAAAACACAACTTTTTTCCTTAATACTTTTTTTTTGTAGAACCAATATTAATTAAATTAAAAAATAAAAACACCAAAAATGTTTTTTTCAAATTTAATTAAATTTTTAAACATTAATCGTTGTTTTGAAGTCAAATGTTAATGAATTAACTTGCAATTTTTTATACAAGTTCATTTGAGTCTGCTGAAACCGAAAAAATCATAAAAACTTTAAAAATTAGGTATTTATTGTTTAATTATTTTTTATTATTTTTTACCTGTCAGTAATATATTTTTCTTACTTTCGATGAGGAAAAGTCTGTGGTGAAGTTTTGAATTGATCAAACTTCTAGTGAGAAGTTGTTCCTTGGTATTCAAGGAAGTTTTCTGGAAAATTTCAACAAAATTTATTAAAAAATAAAAAAGGTATGCAATTTTTAAAGAATACGCGCCGCGTGACACATTCGCTCCAATAGACAGTACAGTGCTATAAAGGTTATAGCACCTTTATAGTCACCTTTCTGTTATTAATTTATTTTTTCTATTATTAATATTTTTATTAAATTGTTATTAACTATTATTCCTTCGCAAAAAATTATTATTATTATTATTATTATTATTATTATTATTATTATTATTATTATTATGGTTAATAATTCCACATGTTTTTTTCTTGTTTATACATCTGTATTTATTTCATAGATTTTTTTATTTGTACAAATTTTTCATAGCGCACATTTTTTAATAATAATAACAATAAAATATTTGCATTTTCTACACTAATTAAAAACTTTTAATTTCAACTAAATTTTTAAAATAAGAAATTTTTATCTTATCTAATAAACTTTCTTACCTTTTTTAAATGGTTTTTAGTTTTCTTAATAATTTTTTTTTAAAGTTTTACTTTTTTCCATAATTTTTTTAACATTCTTACTCTTTTTAGTTACGCTTTCAATTGATTTTTATTAACTATTTTAATAATAATTGTGACATTTCACTATTTTATTAATATCAAGCTTGACCAGAGTCATTTTCAATATTTCTAAAATTAAAAAATAATATTTATAAATAAAGGGTTTAAAAACATATGTATAAGATAAAAATACTAAAAAATGTGTGCCATGAAAATTTGTACAAATTAAAAAATTTATGAAATAAAAACACATGTATAAACAGGGAAACAAATGACGGACATATTAACCATAAAAATATTAATAATAAATATAATAAATAATTATTAATAATTATATAAAGTGCTATAAAGGTGACACCTTTATAGCACTGTACTGTCTATTGGAGCGAATGTGTCACGCGGCGCGTATTCTTTAAAAATTGCATAACTTTTTTATTTTTTAATAAATTTTGTTGAAATTTTCCAGAAAACTTCCTTGAATACCGAGGAACAACTTTCTCACTGGAAGTTTGATCAATTCAAAACTTCACCACAGACTTTTCCTCATCGAAAGCAAGAAAAATATATTACTGACAATTCATTGTTTACAATAAAAAATAATAAAACAATAAATAATTTTTAAGGTTTTTATGATTTTTTCGGTTTCATCAGACTCAAATGAACTTGTATAAAAAATTGCAACTTAATTCATTAACATTTGACTTTAAAACAACGATTAATGTTTAAAAATTTAATTAAATTTGAAAAAAAAATGTTTGGTGTTTTTATTTTTTAATTTAATTAATATTGGTTCTACAAAAAAAAGTATTAAGGAAAAAAGTTGTGTTTTTTTATTCCCTACAAGATAGTGTTTTCAAAAACTTAAAATTTTGAATTTTAATTTTTCACTATTTTTGATGCGTCGAAATAGCATAAGGGCGATGTTTCGAACGCGAATCGAGTTATTTGATTGAGCTCCTCAATTAATGAATATTAATGAAATTTTGTGCAAACTTACAGTTCATTAAGTACTTTAACTTGCATGAAGAGAAAAATAAATTTAACTTAACACTTTTGAATAAACTTCAGTGCGCCAAGCAACCCCTGCGCCAAACAGCCACGGTCTCCCCTACAGCTATTTGTTTAAAAGAAAAATTTTGATTTTTTAAACAAATAGCTGTATTTTTTCCAAACGGCTTGCTTGTTTGAAAATCTCCACGGTGAAGTTGTAGAGAATCATTTTCTGAAGAAAATAATCTATATGAGGCATTTTCCGTGTAATGGCCTGAGTTAAAAAATTAATTTCTCAAAAAAAAGTGAAACTTTGGGAAATTGTTGTCCTACCTGATAGTAAAATATCCCAAAAAAAATTTTTTGACTTTTTTGAAATTTTAGGAGAGATAGAGGGTGGTCAATTTTATCAGTTTTCCCTGACACCGCCAACTATTTAAATTTTTTCTGTTTATAAACGCTATAAAAAAATTTTGGCAGGTATGTCTTTTGAAAGTTTCACAGGAAAAAAAAGTCTTACTCCGAGCATAGTCTAATTTTTTATTTTTATTAGAAAGTAGCCGTTAACTAATATTAATCACAAATAATGGTCTAAAAATAAGCTGTTGAGGTCTTAATGAAAAACAAGATATTAAGGGGGGCGCCTACTTTATCGGATCAAAAAAATCGATTTTTTAAAAGTTATCTTAACTGAAAGTACAACTATCAGAGAATATGCTCTTAAAATATTACGTCAAAATACAAAGTATTTTTCGAGTTACAGCTTGTAGAACGCAATAAAGCGCGTGGCCTGGTGCGCGACTCCACTCGCGGTCTCTAATACTTTTCATAATTTGTTGCGCTTATCTACTATTACACCTACCATTAAAAGTACCATTTTTATGAGGATGCTGAAGGGCTAATGTATGGACCTGGCATTGTCGATTAGCCTGTGACTGGCGTAAGTTTTTAATAAACAGCACTTATATGTTTTTCAATCTTTAAACTCGTTTTTCTCAAAACACTGTTTTTGTAGTTTGCGTACACGATAGACAAAAATCTATTCAACCGATTAAGGTCTACCTGGGCTTGTTTTGAAGATAAAAAGTGTCTCTTCTGTATGAATTAAATTTGTTTTTGATAGAGTTAAATTTAGTGCTTTCTTTTAAAGAAAAAATGAGATTTTTTTTTGCGAAAATTAAATTTTTTTTTAAAAAGTCATGTAAAAATGTCAGTTTTTACTTTCTATTAAAATCTTTTAATTCATACAGAAGGCAATAATGTATATTTAAAGAAAAAATTTTGTTTTTTTGTTTTCGATAAGAATTCTGGACCCTAGGTTGTACGCAATGGGAAAATTTCAGCAGCGAGGCGTTATATATATGGCGTTTATTTTATTATTAAATTCTATTTTCATTTAATCAAAAAATTATATTTCAAAGATTTAAATATATAAGAAAACATAAACTAAATCTCGCATCGATTTATTTAAATGTGTTTGAGAAAAAAATTCCTGAAATGTACGCAGTTTTTTACCTTCTAAAGTAAGCGCCCCCCTTAATATGACAAATATTTAGTTCTATTAGATTCAAAACAAGCCTTTGTGGTCTTGGACTCAATACAAAATTTCATTCGTTAGAAATGAGACGTTAAAAGTCTTCAATCAAGCCCATGAGGTCTAGATACTAGTGAGTTGTAACTAGACGCACAACGAAAGTGCCCGAGTGTAAAGTGTCATGGACGCCTTTCCAAAAATGTGACGCGTCCACGAAGTAGTATAAGGAGACGTAACGCCCATAGTAGATTGTGGTGAAAGTGAGCCCCAAAATCGTGTCCTAGAGTTTACGCATTTTTCTAATAATGCGATGAGGACGCCGCGCGTGGAGAAATAGAGAATTAAAATTTATCACGTGCTCGCATGTGCTGACAAATTGTCTTGAACCGGTGTTTCGCGCTT